AAAAAAGCGAGCAGGGGGAACGCGACTGACTGCCTGCACCGGAACTGACCCAATAAAAAAAAAGGGACGCGGAGGACTGTCTGCATCGGAACTGACCAAATGAAAAAAAAAAAAAAAGGGAGGACAACGGCCGCTGCAGCGGCCAAAAAGGGAAAAGCGTTGCCGAAAGCGACGGAACGAAAAAAAAAAGGGGGAAAGACGGCCGCTGCAGTGGCCAAAAGGAAAAGAAAAATCCAGCGGCCTAACTCAGTTGGTAAGGCACGCAAGTGGCATTCAGGAGGTCGTCAGTTCAATCCCCATTGGCCTGATGTACCTTCTTGGGCATGCTTGGCGCCCGCCACCTAGAGATAAACCACTGGATCCCCCAATCGGCATTGAGCAGAGTCTGCTAATGTTCGCAGGGGAGGGGACCTGAGGGGAGGAACAAGGATTGGTCCTGTTGGCATGGTCATTGATGCTACCGGCTGTCCCCTAGCCGGAATCGCCCACCTGCAGGTCGGAAGCAGCACCCGCATGTTCTCTCCTGAACACGGTTCTGGCTGCTATGGGGTTCCCTGCATGCCTACAATTAGGAGTAGCGGTAGGTAGGTAGTGTGAGGTGAAATTGAGAGAAGAAAAGAAAAAGAAAAAGAAAAGAAAAAAAAAAGAGAAACAAAACGCAGGGATTTTGCATGCAGGTTCTTTACTTTGCAATACTTTGCAATTCCGAAGAAAAAAAAACACGTTTTTTTTTTTTTTTTTTATGTTTTTAAATGCAAACGGGCGCCACACACCGTTTTACGCATTGCTAGTCGGTCCCGCAACCGTCACACCACTCCACATACATCGTAAGTGGGATCTCCCTCCAGGCCCCTGGTCACCTATGGATATATCTAAAGACTGCAGCCCTTTAAAAAAAAATAAAAAAATTAGGGGGAACCGATAGCACAGGACCACAGGTCCATGCTATGTTACCGCGCGTTCATTGAACGTGCGTTCCACGTTCAGTTTATGAACGCAGTGAACGCGCCTGAACACGATTGACGCGTTTGCGCAGGGGGGCTGTGAGGGGTGGGGAGGTGCCCGTGGGCCACTAGGGAGCGTCGGCGGTGCTTGGGGGGTCATATGGGTGAAGTCCCCAGGTAAATATATAAAAAAAAAAAAAAAAAAAAAAAACAGGCCCTCATTTCGTACTGCGGCGGCATAAAGCGGGCGCAATGTGCGAACGCGACACACTCGTGCAGTGCGCGTTCGAGCGTTCCCCACCTTGAGTTGGAAAGCTCCTGCACGCGCACTGACAACGGAGTGAATGCGCGCGCGCGCGCGCGAGAGAGAGAGAGAGAGAGAGAGAGATACAAAATTGGGTTACTACGTACCTGCTGCGCTGGAGATATCACTACGGCGAGAGAGAGAGAGAGAGAGAGAGAGAGAGAGAGAGAGAGAGAGAGAGAGAGAGAGAGAGAGAGAGAGAGAGAGA